GCGTTCTGACCCGGCCGCGCCTCTGTGAGTCTGCATCGGTGGAGCCGCACTGTACAATGGGGGAGGCCCGAGCACAGAGCCGCCTCATTCAGGGCTGATGCTAGGCCTGCAGCCCCCTGACAGGCTTCTGCAAGGGGGGGACGGGGGCTTATGGCAACCAATCACTGTTTTCTTTACAAGCTTGTGCATTCCCATGCTGGGCTCTGGTTGCTATGGGTTACTGCATGGAGGGCTGTGTGTGGTGTGATGATTCTGGGAGTGATATATCGGGACTGGCACCAGACAGATTGTGATATATGTATCTGAGGTAGGCCAGCGCTTCTGGGGACGGGGCGGTGATGTGGGGGCTTCTGTGGAATGGTATTGTCGGGTCAGGGCTCCTGTAAGGCTGTATGTGGTCCCCTAGGGATGGGGCGACAGTGTGGGCTCCTGTAAGGCTGTATGTGGTCCCCTAGGGATGGGGCGGCAGTGTGGGCTCCTGCAGGGACACTGTTGGTAGGGGTGTCACTAGGGACGGCCTTAAGGGTCCATCTTCATTGTCCAGCCTACATGGGGTAGAAGTACAGATGGTGTCCTTAGTGCTACTGAAGGGACATGGTGGCTGGATCTGGGCCCATCTGTTCATTTGTATCTCTGAACCGTTTATTTTGCCTCTATCGGCTCATCTTCTAACATGGCCAACATCGACCTCCAAGGGAGGGAGCCGTACAGACTCCATGCAGATGGTGACCCCGGTGTGTTTTAAACCCTGGTCACCAGTGCTAGCCACTAATCCACCTCGTTATTCCAGAGCAGAATGGCAGCTTGGAGTAGACCTGACAGCACGGGGTGTCCTGGCCTGGTTACTTCTAGTCCGGGATGGACATGACTGGGCAAAACACGGCTCTGAGCACAGGGCAGTCTGGTCAGGGTGCTGTACATCCCAGGAGCTGCACAGCTTGGTCTGGACACCTCTTAGATTAACATGGAGGGACGTGATTCCAGTTCTGGCATCTTTACAGGCAGGACAGTTTCGGTCCCGGTGCCACATTTTGTCAGAACAGGGATCGGCACGCTGCCTGAATCCTTCACCATGTGCAGAGTCTGCGACCACCTCGGTGCTCTGCAGCATTGGTCAGCAGCGGCTCCTCTATGTATAGTAACAATGCTGACAGCCCTGCAAGGACACGAGGGAATCTCTATGTTTAGCATGTGTCCGGGCTCATCGCTGCTGCCGGTCCCATACGCCCCGCGCTACACGTCCCTATTCTTGTCACCCACTGCAGGCTGGCATTGTACAGGTAACACCTCGGTCACTGCTGGGGTGTAGGGCATTGTGCAGGTAACATCTGGGCACTGGTGGGGTGTATGGCATTATGCAGGTAACACCTTGGCACTGGTGGGGTGTATGGCATTGCACAGGTAACATCTCGGCACTGGTGGGGTGTATGGCATTGTACAGGTAACATCTCGGCACTGGTGGGGTGTATGGCATTATGCAGGTAACACCTTGGCACTGGTGGGGTGTATGGCATTGT